TCATTGAGAATTTTCTTGAGTAAACAACTTACCAAGGTTATATTTTAAAGCTGAAAAAATTTAATGTGCAATAGAAAACACACTTGAAAAAAATCCACAGATCTCTATTACCACATATGGACCACCCAGAGCTTCCGCTCAGGAGGGAGGCACCTGGGAAAGTGGGACTCTGGAGGGAGTGGCTTTTTAGTTTCTCCAAAACTGAGACTAACTGGTGCTGACTGCAACAGGGCACCATCAGTCCTGACAATTACCCCCACAAGGTCTTTTTATTTTTTTCATTTAGATACAGGGTTTCCCTCTGTTGCACAGGCTGGCGTGCAGTGGTGTGATCACAGCTCACTGTGTCCAAGTATCGAACTCCTGTGCCCAAGTATCCTCCCAGCTCAGCCTCCTGAGTAGCTGGGACAACAGGTGCCACACCCAGCCTCCATCTACTTCTTAATTAAGGGGGAGGGCAAATCTCTATAGTTCATGGATGACACTTGGCAATATTTAAAATTCAAAGGCACCCACCACCAATTGATAAATGAATAACCAAATGTGGCCTATCCATGCAATGAGATATTATCTATCCAGAAATGAAATACTTGGCTGGGTGCAGTGGCTCATGCCTGTAATACCAGCACTTTGGGAGGCCAAGGCAGGTGAATCACCTGAGGTCAGGAGTTTGAGACCAGCCTGGCCAACATGGTGAAACCCCGTGTCTACTAAAATTACAAAAATTAGCTGAGCATGGTGGCGCATGCCTGTAATCCCAGCTACTCAGGAGGCTGATGCAGGAGAATCCCTTAAACCTGGGAGGCAGAGGTTGCAGTGAGCCAAGCAAGTTGTGCCACTGCACTCCAGCCTGAGTGACAGAGTGAGACTCCATCTCAAAAAAAAAAAAAAAATGAAATACTAATACATGCTACAACATGGAAGAAACTTGAAAACATTATGCTAAGCGAAAGAAGCCAGATCCAAAAGCCCACATATTCCATGATTCCATTTATATGAAATGCCAAGAATAGGCAAATCTATAAAGACAGAAAGTAGATTACTGGTTGCCAGGGGATGGTGAGAGGCAGGAATGGGTAGTGAATGCTAATGGGTTTCTTTGGAGGGTGATGAAAATATTCTGGAATTAGATAATGGTGATGGTTACACAACTCTGTAAATATACTAAAAACCACTCAATTGTACACTTTTAAAAGGTAAATGTTATGGCATATGAATTTTTTTTTCTTTTAGAAACAGGGTCTCACTGCCACACAGGCTGGAGTGCAATGACGTCATCACAGCTGACTGCAGCCTCCACCTCCTGGGCTCAAGTGATCTTTCAGGCTCAGCCTCATAAATAACTGGGACTACAGATACACACCACCACACCAAGCTAAATTTTTAATTTTTATTTGTAAAGACAGGTTCTCACTATGTTGCCCACACTGGACTGAAACTCCTAGGGTCAAGCAATCCTCCTGCCTAAGTCTCTCAAAGTGCTGGGATTAACAGGCATGAGCCACCACACCTGGCTGGTATGTGAATTATATCTCAATTTTTTTTTTTTAGAGAGACGGGGTCTCGCTATGTTGCCCAGGCTGGAGTGCAGTGGCTATTCACAGGCGCGATCCCACTACTGATAAGCACGGGAGTTTTTGACCTGCTCCGTTTCCCACCTGAGCCGGTTCACCCCTCCTTAGGTAACCTTGTGGTCCCCAGCTCCCGGGGGGTCACCATATTGATGCCGAACTTAGTGTGGACACCTGATCAGCATAGCGCACTACAGCCCAGAGCTCCTAGGCTCAAGCGATCCTCCCACCTCAGCCTCCTGAGTAGCTGGGACTACAGGCACGCGCGCCACTGCGCCTGGTTTATATCTCAAATTAGCTGATAAAAAAATTTCTAGCTGGGCACAGTGGCTCACACCTATAATCCTAGCACTTTGGGAGGCTGAGGCAGGTGGATCACTTGATGTCAGGAGTTCGAGACCAGCCTGGCTAACATGGTGAAAACCCATCTCTACTAAAAATACAAAAATTAGCTGGGTATGGTGGTGCATGCCTGTAGTTCCAGCTACTTAGGAGGCTGAGGCAGCGGCTGCAGTGAACTAAGATTGTGCCACTGCACTCCAGCCTGCATGACAGAGCTAGACTCCATCTCAAAAAAAAAAAAAAAAATTCTGTCTTCAGTGGTATTTTCATGCAAGTGCGTGCACATGCGCGTGCGCGTGCACACACACACACACACACACACACACATACACACACACAGGATACGGCATAAGGATATCCTCTGCTCTTTGAAGTCTTAGTGCACATTTCACACCCTCAACAGGGACTATACTATTTTAAACTGCAATGTGCCCCCTGTCATCCACTCCTATCCTCCCTTGGCCGCCTTCCCCTACTCCTGTGGCATTTATCACCTTGCACCATACTAAATAAATTGTTTATATATTTTTGTCTGTCCTCCACACCCCACATGCACGCATGCCAGAGAACAAGCCCTCTAATGAGAGAGATCTTTCTTTTGTTCGGTGACTTAGGCCGAGGCTGCCTGACCCAGAGTAGGCACTCAATAAATATTTGATGCATGAATTAATGACTAAATGAATGAGTGATAAGCTCATCAGTGTGTATCCCTCCCATTTTGCAAACATTTGGGGCAGCTTGTTAACAGCTGCATTGGAGCATTGGACTTCATGGGACCAAAATAAATTCTGAGTGTGTAGAAGAATGACCATCCTTGCCACAAGAACTGCAATGCAAACCCACACAAGGGTCAGAAAACAAACCAGTTTTGATTTTTTAAATTCTGCTTAAAGAAAGAGATGAGGCCAGACATGGTGGCTCATGTCTGTAATCCCAGCACTCTGGGAGGCCAAGGAGGGCTGATCACTTGAGGCCAGGAGTTCGAGACCAGCCTGACCAACATGGCAAAACCCCATCTCTACTAAAAATACAAAAAATTAGCCACGTGTGGTGGCACACACCTATAGTTCCAGTTGCTTAGGAGACTGAGACAGGAGAATCTCTTGAACCCAGGAGGCAGAGGTTGCAGTGAGACCAGATCGCAACACTGTACTCCAGCCTGGGCAACAGAATAAGACTCTACCTCAAAAAAAAAAAAAAAAAAAAAGGCCCGGGCCAAGGGCCTCACCTGTCCAATCCCCAGCACTTTGTGGGGCTGAAGCGAGTGGATCACAAGGTCAGGCATTTGATACCAGTCTGACCAACATGGTGAAACCCCATTTCTACTAAAAAACATACAAATTAGCCAGGCGTGGTGGCACACACCTGTAGTCCTAGCTACTCGGGAGGCTGAGGCAGGAAAATTACTTGAACCTGGGAGGCAGAGGTCTCAGTGAACCGAGATCATGCCACTACACTCTAGCCTGGGCAACAGAGCAAGACTCCATCTCAAAAAAGGAAAAAGAAAAAGAAAAATATGAAAGCTGTGCACTGTGGTATGTGTCTATAATCCCTGCTACTCAGGATACTGAGGTAGGAGGATCCCTTGAGCACAGGAGTTCAAATCCAGCCTGGGTAATATGGCAAGACTCCATCTCTGAAAAAGAAAAAGGAAAAGGGGCCTGGGCAACATAAAGCGACTCCCATCTCTAAAAACAAAAATTAGCCAAGCATGGTGGTGGGCACCTGTGTTTCCAGCTGCTTGTGAGGGTGAGGTAGGAGGATCTCTTGAACCCAGGAGTTGGAGGCTACAGTGAGCTAAGATTGTGCCACTGTACTTCAGACTGGGCAACAAAGCAAGGCTCTGTCTCAAAGAGAGAAAGTGAGAGAGAAACATAGGGTTAATAAGATATAGCTCAGAAACACAGAGGTAGCATGATTCATCTTTGAGCAGTGTGAAGCTGTTCAGAAAGGAAGTATTCACTGAGAAATGAAGTTTCACCAAAATCTGACAGGCAGCAAGGGGAGACAGAAAATAACTTCAAATAAGAGATAAGACCCATCAGCTAGAGCAAAGAAGGGATCCGCAAGCTGGGCCAAGTGATAGAAGTGAAGCACATTCATTATCTTGTGTGGCACATCCCTAGCAGATCATCCTGGGTGTAATTTAGCTTATTCCTTTCCTTGCTTATCAGACACAGCTCAGAAGAAAGTAACTGAGAACAGGTGCATCAGCATTGGTTAAAGCTGCCAAACCTTTGGCAAATCTCACTGACTTAGGCCAAAAACCACATAAAGCTTCAGGAAATTTTCTACCAGCAAAATTCTATTTATATGACTAAATAGGGAAGTTCAGGGATTTCAAATTCATAAACATATGATTTAGTACCTAAAGAGACTGTATCTGTGCTAAATAAATGCAGATGCATATGGTATTCTAAGACAGAAGAGGGGTGGGTGAGTCGACAACAGATACATGTAAAGGTTTGCAAACATTACCTATATATGGAAGGAGACATTAGAAACTAATTAACAGTTGTTTCTGGAGAGGCAGCTGGGTGACTGGGAGGCAAGGAACAAAGGGAAACTTACATTTCCCAAAAAAGTTGGCCCTCCATTTCTGTGAGTTCTGCTTTTATGGATTCAATAAACCATGAATAGAAAATATTCAAGAAAAAAAATGGATGTTTGCATCTGTACTGAACATATACGGATCTTTTTCTTGTCAAAAATAGTATAACAACTATTTACATGGCATTTACATTGCATTTGGTGTTATAATATCTAGAGATTATTTAAAGTATACGGGGGGGGGGCAGGTCCAGTGGCTCACGCCTGTAATCCCAGCACTTTGGGAGACTGAGGCAGGCAAATCATGAGGTCAGGAGTTCGAGACCATCCTGACTAGTATGGTGAAACCCCGTCTCTACTAAAAAGACAAAAAATTAGCTGGGCGTAGTGGCAGGTGGCTGTAGTCCCAGCTACTCAGGAGGCTGAGGCAGGAGAATTGCTTAAACCAGGAGGCAGAGGTTGTAGTGAGCTGAGATCACACCATTGCACTCCAGCCCAGGTGACAGAGTAAGACTTGGTCTCAAAAAAAAAAAAAAAATGCTCGATTTGGCAGCACATATACTAAAATTGGAACGATACGGAGAAGATGAGCATGGCCCCTGCACAAGGATGACATGCAAATGGAAGCGTTCCATATTTTTTAATTTAAAAAAAAAGAAAAAGAAAAAAAAAAAAGAAAATGAAAAAAATGGGCTAGGGGCAGTGGCTTACTTCTGAAATCCCAGTATTTTGGGAGGCCAAGGTGAGTGAATCACTTGAGGTCAGGAGTTCGTGACCAGCCTGGCCAACATGGTGAACCCCTACTAAAAAAATACGAAAATTAGCCAGGCGTGGTGGCATGTACCTGTAGTCCCAGCTACTCAGGAGGCCAAGTCAGGAGAACTGCTTAAACCTTGGGGGCGGAGGTTGCAATGAGCTGAGATCACACAACTGCTCTCCAGCCTGGGTGACAGAGTGAGACTCTGTCTCAAGAAAAAAAAAACTAAATTAAAAAATGGATTAACCAATCTCTGCATTCAAGTAGTTCCTTTCTTTTTTTGTTTTTTGTGAGTTTTTTTTCTGAGACGGAGCCACTGTGCCAGTAGTTCTTTCTTTTTTCATTTCTTCCTTCCATCTGCAAACATTTATTACTATATGGGACAGATAAAGAAGTCAATAAAAGATTTTAATAAAATGTAAGTACACATCACTATTTTACAAAATCATTTTAAGATTTTGAACCTTATGTTGTTTCTTTAAGGTGATCCAGATGTAAGATATGTTAGCATTCTTCTACAGTATTTATATCTATTTCTGGAAACTTTCGTTTATTGTATTTAAACATCATATAATTCTCTTGAAAGGCACAATAGATGTTATATAGACAAGTAGCAGCAGTTCTTTCAAACTCTTAGAAGTATCTCTTTGGCCTTTGAAGTATGCCATCAATCTATGTCTACTTTGAGCCTTGAGGCAGAAAGCCAATCTAGGCCCCAACTCATCAGTGGTTTAAACCTTGCTTCAACCTGCCCCTGATTTGCAATGGCTGCCCAACCTGGAGTCACAAACTCCAATAGCGCTCCAGGGGCCAGGCAGGGAATGTGACTGAGTGAAGTGGGCCCAATGGAAGCAAAAATAACCAGCAAGTGAGACGGTAAATGACAACAGTGCTTCAAATGGGAACACCCTTGGGAGTGGTGGCCTGGGGAATGCATGGCCAGCGCAGAGGGCCACTCCAGCATGTCGTTGCTGTGGGGAATATGGACCCAAGATGCACAGATCTTCTGATTTGTTCAAAAGAAGCAAAAATCCAGATTTGTTTGTAGCATCTCTTAGTTTTTAAATGTTAGAAATAGATTTCTAAAGATTAGTATTGCGGTGGAGCTAAATGAATACATTTACAGGCCATTTTTGATTCAAGAGACAGAAGAGAAATTACACAAAGTAGACGCTGATTGGACCAAGTGGTAAAATGATCACTTCTAAGCTATTAAGGTGAGGAAAAGGAAGAAGTTCCAAGATCTCAGAAGCATAAATACTGCACTATATATAGGACACAGTTGTACTTGTGGGCAGCACCGTTGACCACAAGAGGCATCTGTCTTCAGGGTGCAGCATTTAATTGAAGTGGAAATGTAATCACATGCCTACTTGGCCAAGAAAGGCTGATGAGGGATGAGGGATCATTAGACCTTCAAAGATAGGGAAGTCAGGTTGCTTTTACACTGATCATGTCCCTATTTGAAGATAAAGAAAAAAGAATTGGGAGAAAACATCAGAAGGAAATTAAGGCCAATTACTTGCTTTTGTCCAACAATATCAGACAGGAGAGCTTAGCACAGAGGTGAGTTAATAGGAAAGAAGACAGTTTGGGTGAGAATATACACTCCATTCACTGTGAGTGGGAAACAACATCAGCTTGCAGGGAAGTAGTGATTAACAGGAATTACTGACTCAACATTCCTCTTCACTAGGAGTACCGTGCCTTCCTGGCCCATGCTGTCTCTGGGGGGCTGTCAATCACAGAGCTCAGCATCCCAACACAAGTGGGCATGTGACTCAGACTAGCCAATCAAAGCACTCCACTCCCCTAACTACAAACATTGGTTCAGAAGTGCGCATGTGACCAAGGCAGGACCAATTAGAATCTTCCCTGAAATTTGATCTACACCAATTTGGGAGAGAGATCTTCTCCTCTGGCATCTCAAACTGTAAGGATTATATAAACTTAAACTGTGGTTTTTTTCCTCAACCACATAGAAAATGCTGCTGTTGCTGCTGCAGGAAAAAGGAGCAGAGACAAGCTGAGATGAGATAAATAAGAAGAGGAAGGGAACTGGCTGCATCCATTGAGCACTTGGATCCATCCCTGTAACAAAAATACAGCAGTAAAGCTGTCTAGTTCAGTGACTAGCAGTAGTGATAAGAGGTAGACACCCACTTACAACACATGTGCCATCAAACCAAAAAAACTGAGATTGAGGTGGGTCAAGAAACCCAAACTTTGCTAAAAGCAGCTGAGTCAAACATAGTTTCACGTAGTACAACTCTAGTATGTACCTCTCAAAAAATATTTTGCAAATCAAGAAAAATGAAAAAGATTCCAAAGCCAGAAACCTAAAATAAAGAAGGGCTCTGTGTATTAATTAAGTTAATGAATGAATGAACAAATACCCAGACTACAGTTCCTTATCATTTATTTTTAATTTTATTTTTTTTTGAGACATAGTCTCACTGTGTTGCCCAGGCTGGAGTGCAGCCTCATGATCATAGCTCATTATATCCTCAAACCCTGGGCTCAAGCAATCCTCCCACATCAGCCTCCTGAGTAACTAGAACTACAGACATACACCACCACACCTGGTTAACGTGTGTGTGTGTGTGTGTGTGTGTGTGTGTGTGTCCGTGGTTTGTTGTTGTTGTTGTTGTCCTTTGAGACAGTCTCATTCTATTGCCCAGGCTGGAATGCAGTGGTGCAACCCACGTTCAAGCAATTCTCCTGCCTCAGCCTCCTGAGTAACTGAGATTGCAGGTGTGCGCCACCACACCTGACTCATTTTTGTATTTTTTACTAGGGATGGGGTTTCACCATGTTAGCCAGGCTGGTCTTGAACTCCTCATCTCTAGTGATCCACCTGCCTCGGCCTCCCAGTGTGCTGGGGTCACAGACATGAGCCAACACGCATGGCCTGTTCTTATTTTTGTTTTTGTAGAGACGGAATCTTGCTTTGTTGCCCAAGCTGGTCAAATTTCTGGCTTCGAGTGATCCTCCCACCTCAGCCTCCAAAAGTGCCTGGATTACAGGCCTGACCCACTATGTCTGGCCTCCTTATCATTTCAGTTGAGGGCGCTTAGAAGAAATAACTCACAACGCAGAAGATGACAAATCTGTCATCTCCAAATGTGACATGGAATTCAAATATGCCTCACATTTTATTGCTGAAAGACAACTTAGAGATCAGAAAACCGAGACCTAGCACTTACCACAAGCTAATAGATCAATCAAAGTACACAGCATGGAGGTGCCCAGCCTCCTATGTGGTCTCATTTATACACAGGTGCTATCTGGCAACAATTAAATACTGAGCACAGACATGATGAGGGAGAGAGATATCACACAACCTTGCCTTCTTTGTGCAAGCCAGTGCCACCTTCTTTGGTTTTGGTCAACTAGGGCCTTAAGGCTCTTGGAAGCCACAGCCACAAGGATCAAGAAAGCCCACTCTTATTCTACAGATACTTTCACAATGGTCTGCAAAGATTTTCAGTATTTGTGTGTGTGTATATATAACATTTACAGTATGTGTCTATATATACACACTGTATGTATGTATACAATATATATACATATAGAGTACATACACTGCACATCTATAGTATATACTATAGACACAGTATATACTGCATACTGTGTCTATACATATACTGTATATACACTATATATACAGTGTATGCTATAGTATATTGTGTATATTATAGGTTAATAGTATATATAATGTATATGTAAATATATACATATATACTGTAAAGATTTATAGTCTATAGACTATAAATCTGTATATATACTGTAAATATATGTTTATGTATATATCACATATGTATCACATATACATATATGCACACATGCATCACATATACATATATGCACACATGCATATATACATATTTTTGTTTGTTTTACAAAAAAAGAGGCCAGGCGTAGTGGCTCACATCTGCAATCCAAGCACTTTGGGAGGCCAAGGCGGGCGAATCACGAGGTCAGGAGTTCGAGACCAGCCTGTCCAACATGATGAAAACCCAACTCTACTAAAAATGCAAAAAATTAGCCAGGTGTGGTGGTGTGCGCAAGTAATCCCAGCTACTCGAGAGGCTGATGCAGAAGAATTGCTTGAACCAGGGAGGTGGAGGCTGCAGTGAGCTGAGATCATGCCACTACACTCCAGCCTGGGTGACAGAACGAGATTTTGTCTAAAAAAAAAAAAAAACCAGAAAGAAAAACAAAAGCAAGAATATCTAACCGTAAGATTCTCCCATCTCACACCGTCTTCCCCACTTAAGTTATCCATTATTTTGAGTCCCTTACTTTCCTTTTATATACTTTCTTTGCATCTGTATGTAATCTAAAATTTTATTTTTATTCATTTTAGTTGCTTTTACTCTTATAAAAGAGTATCATCATGAATACAATCTTTTAGAACCTTTCTTTACTTTTTTCCACTTCAAAGAATATTGCTAATAAGCTGGGCGCAGTGGCTCAAGCCTGTAATCCCAGCACTTTGGGAGGCCGAGGCGGGTGGATCACAAGGTCAAGAGATCGAGACCATCCTGGTCAACATGGTGAAACCCCGTCTCTACTAAAACTACAAAAAAATTAGCTGGGCATGGTGGCGCGTGTCTGTAGTCCCAGCTACTCAGGAGGCTGAGGCAGGAGAATTGCCCGAACTCAGGAGGCGGAGGTTGCGGTGAGCCGAGATCGCGCCATTGCATTCCAGCCTGGGTAACAAGAGCGAAACTCCGTCTCAAAAAAAAAAAAAAAAAAAAAGAATATTGCTAATATTTGTCCATATTATTGTCATTGGAATTCACCTGTTTTGACCCTTGTATAGTGTGTCATTGCACTGATAATATCAGAGTTCATCCATTTCATTCTTCTCTTGATGGC